TACGCCGAGCTGTCGGCGGGTGTGGTATTTCATACGTGGTAGAGATGTTGTCCTTCTCCCCGTAGCATACTACAATCTCGATACGGTTTTCGTAGAATAATGGCTCCATTCGAAGCTGAGAGACGTATGGAAGCTCAGTGGTGCCGATATTGAGACTGCCATGCGCAAGACGCTTCTTCGTCCAGGTACCATCACGAAAGACAGAAAGATGACATGCGCGTGGAGCACGAGCTTGTGTGGGAGACTAATGCTTACGGCGACGTCACAATGGTTGTGCGGGCCCGGTACGGCAAGCCTAAGAGCGATCTCTCCACCGTGAAGGCTCGTGCAGCCCAACAGCAACACTACATCACCTATACAGAATACATCTACACGAAGGAAATTGTTGGAAGGAACGTCGACAGCTACTGTAAGCCCTTGCTGGCGTCTGAAACCCTTTATGTCGTCGAGGATTCGCCGAAGAGCCTCCTTGATATCGAGGAGTTGAGAGCTCAGGGGCTACAGAGCATTGGTGGTACTGTCAAAGAAGGACAGCGGAATAGAACCTACTACAGAAGCTAGGACCTTTCCAAACGCTTGCCGCTGGGCTAGCGCGAAGTCTTCTCCGTGGTCGATCAGCATTACCAGCTCGCGCTAGACTCTATCATGCGCCGCAATCTTCCCGACGTTGAAGGAAACTCCTTGCGTAAAATTGCATTACCGAGCTATCTACACGACAACTGCGGCTATGAACAGTTAGATGGAGACGCGTGTGCGTGGATTCCGTCCCCGGAAATGCTCTGGGGACACGAGGGTGTTACCGACGCCGATGAGGTACTCAACGAGGCTCGGCGCTCATTTTTCACCCCCATGCGATCTCGCGATGCTTTTGGCAACGTTTCCTCGGCCAAACTAGACGAATACAAGCTGATGGCCGTTCAGAGCACCGACGCGGTCAAGAATGTCCGGGTGGCTGAGTACGACTACCGCACGATGCAGGCGGCCTTGCTAATAGACCCCAATGGTAATCGCACCCAGATCAAGTACGACCATTTTGGCGAGGTGACGATGGTCGCACGGATGGGAAAGATCCAAGAAGCAGTGGGCGACTCATTGGCAGATGTGCCTCACGCTGTTTCCGACGAGGATATGCTGTCGTTTATCAGCAGACCCACCAGAGATGCTGCTGCACGGCTCCTCGAGAGTGCTGGTACTCGCACTCTCAATTGCCGCACCAGACTGAGCATGCCCTCCGTCCAGAAGACACTACCCACATTCTGTCTGGATCTAAGACGCACTCAGCACTGTCGAGACGATCGGGGAGAGATCACCATTAGTATGAGCTATCTTGACGGCCGTGGGTCTCAAGTGCAACAAATCATGCTCAGCGACTGGAGTGGTACAGAGAAGAAGTGGTGTGTGACGGAGCACAACATCCTCGATGCAAACGGTAAGAGACTGCTCAGCGTGAAGCCGCACTACTCTTCTACCCACATGTACCAATCGCATGTGGATTCGAAACAAGCATATGCCGTCTTCTTTATGGACGGGCTCCAACGTGAGATTGGCACACTATTCGCAGATCGTACATGGAACAAGACGCGCTTCACCCCTTGGACGCGTACGGAGTATGATGCTGGCGACAACGTGCTCGTGTCGGATCCACGTCTGGATCCTGATGTCGGTTATTACTTCGCCACGTTGGTACCGGCTTTGCATACTCCTTCCTGGCATGCGCTGTGCAAGCAAGGAGACGAGGCTCAGCAGGATGCCGTCACTAAGTCGGCAGACTACAAAAACACTCCGCAGGAGACCCATTTCGATAGCCGCGGTAAGGAAGTGGAGATAGTTGAAAGGGGCACAGCAGGCTCGCGTACATCGCACGCTGAGTACGCTGCATTTGGCAACGCAATTGCAGAGACCGATTTCCTGGGCCGTGCCGTGGTGGTGAGAGAGTTTGACCACCTTGGTCGCTGCCACATCACAAGGAGTATGGATTCAGGAGTGCAGCTGGTCTGCTTCGACGGTCTCGGGAACATAACCTTCCAGTGCAGTAGCAACAAACTCCCAGCAGCGCGGTGTACGACAGATTGCGCAGGAAAGTCGAGACGTGGATTCTGGATCCTGACCGCAACAGCGAAATCCTGTGGAGTAAGACAACATATGGCGAACACGGCCTCGGCGGGCATGAGAAGAACCTTCGCGGGCATCTGGAGGTTTCAGATCAGTCTGGTACACGCAGAAGCAACATCTACGACTTCAAAGGGAACTGTTTGTCCACGCATATGTATATCGCACAAGCCTATGATACCCTCTTGGATTGGAATGGTGGCGTCAACGTGCAACAGACGCCCCACACCACACTTCGCAATTTCGACGTCATGGACCGCGTCAACACCCTCACCGATGCAGCGGGGCGCGTCTCCATGCGCACATACGATCTCAGAGGAAATCTGATGTCCCTTTCCTCATCAACCACATAGTAGCCATCCACGGTGACGTGCCATATTTCCAGCGCACTGTACTCCCCTGAACAACAACCACTGCTCGTCGACTATGGAAACTCATCGCATGCAGCCTACACATACGACGAGCAAACCCGCCGCCACACTCAACGGCGAACGTGGCGCGACGACGGCACGATACTGGAGAACCTAACCATGAGCTATGATTGCCTCGGGCGGATCTCGAGGAGAGTTGATTCGGCGCACCAGACAGAATTCTTCCGAGGTACCCGAGCCGTGCCCCGCAAGAGCTACTGGTATGACAGCTTTGGCCGACTGACAAAAGCGACGGGCCGCGAGGCAGTTCAGACTGGCTCCAATGTATCACGCAGCCAGCAAGTAATCTCGTCTTCGAATCCGATTGTCAGCCAGGGTCTTCCTTTTGCACAATCTACGGCAATCAGCAATTACGTCAAGACGTACAAATATGATGACGTTGACAATATCCAAGCCATCCAGCATCAGTCGTCTGATCCTGCTGTTGCAGGCTGGAAGAGGACCTACCAGTGCAACGAGCCAAGCCTGCTTGAAGAATCACACAGTAACAATCGCCTGAGTCAAATCCAGATTGGCGGCGTTACCGAGGAGTACAAGTATGATGGAACGTTGGGTCCGTGGGCTGCATGAACTCCATGCCAGGATTTTTCCGCCTAGGTTGGGACTGCAACAATAAACTCCGGTGCTCGGCTCGACAAAGAGTTAATCAAGGTGTGCCCGAGACCACGTGGTATGCATATGACGAAGACGGCCGGCGTGTGCGAAAGGTCGTTGCGCGCACGGTCACGGATAGAGGCAACGCTGTCAGGCTGCAGAAGATCAGTGAGACAATCTTCCTCGACTCGTTGGAAATCTATCACACCTACAAGGGAGACGGACAGACTGCGAAAACGATTACGAAGACGTCTTTGATCAACTCCACCGGCTCAGAGAATAGCGCCGTAATCCTGAATATCGAGAACCCCGTCCTAATAGCCGAAGGGTCTGCGGTACCGGACGTACCTCTCTTCTGTTATCACGTCCACGAGGGACTGGAGACGGACGATCACGGCCAAGTCATCTCCTACGAAGAGTACAGCCCGTTCGGATGGTCGGTGCTACTGGCGTGCCGTTCGGACATCGAGGCGCCCCGTCGTTTCCGTTTCGCTGCATACCAACGCGATAATGAGACCGGTCTCTACGCCTGCGGCGCTAGATACTATGCCCCCTGGCTCGGCCGTTGGGCATCAGCCGATCCCATTGGCATGGGGGATGGCCATAATATATACGCATATGTCCGCAACGATCCCGTCGACTGGGTCGATCACACCGGGAACGGCAAAGAAGATCGCCGTGACGGTTTTCGCGGCGATCTCGACTTCAACAATCCTGCCGATCGCCTCGCACTGGATGAAGCTATAGAAAAAGCGGAATACGGACTTATGGGTTACGTGGAAAAGGCCAAGCACACGCTAGAACAAAAGAAGGAAGAATACGCCTTGAAACTGGTAACAGCCATTGTGGGCGAGGCGGCGGGTTTGATACCAATTGCTGGCCCAGTCGTGAAAGCTGTGATCGATAAGTTATCGTCAATCTACGCTGACAAACGAAAGAAATTGAAAGAGCAAAAGGTGGCTGCACAGAACTTTATCACGGGCTTCAGAGCAGCAATGAAAGACACGCGAAAAGCGTACGAACTTGAGTTTATTAGGATCGCAAGTATGCCTAACATCACAGACGGTGAAAAGTTAGCTCTCCTCGCCGCTAGCATCATCGGCACGACTGCCATAGACTTTAGTCAAAGCTGGAAGGACGACAAGCAACAGGATCACGCAGACAATGAAGTCGGTGCCTCTGGTGCAGGTGACGATACGGAAATGAAGGTAGATGTCGCGGAATACGAGAGCAATGGCACCAACATTGGGCAGGTCAAGGTAAAAACGTACTTCACAAAGTCGCCGTTCTGAAGTCTCACACTTGTTGCGGCTGAGGACGACGAATGGGTAGTGCTGCTGTTAACTGTACTCCCGCCTGATCTGACGATCTAATGTAAGCATGCAGGCAGTTGGTATATATCTGGATACGAACGTTTTGTAAGAGAGATTAACAATGCAAGCTGTGACTAAATCCATTACAACTAGCGTGTTAATGCATCGAAGCCATCTGAAAGTGAAAAATAGTACACTTGTAATCGGGCATTAGGTAGAAGAACTACTAGCAGGTGCAGTTTGGTTGCTTCCTCCCATAATGATGTTCTCGTTCTTGGACCTGTATGGAGCCCAGCCAGGAGTCAATCCTAACAAGGATTTAGCTTTCACGACATCCATGTTTCGGCTCTCCATTATGCTCTTAACTCGAGAGACACAAACATAAACTGTAGAGCTTAAAGAGTACACCATTTGACGTAGTGAACATTGCACTTAAGCCTCACCCGCCACCCCCCCTCAAAAAGATGGGGGGTGCAGCAGCTCAAAAAAAAATTAGTGATAAGGTATTGTCGACAAATAGAAATGTGATCAGTGCAAAAACAAAGTGAATTGATGACCTAACCAGGGGTCGAACCTGGAATCTCTTGATTGCCGAACGAATCGTAGTCAAGCGCCTTGCCATTGGGCCATTAGGCCGAAGAATCGGATAATCGATGGTGAAGAGCGAGAAAATTCAATATATATACTATTTAAAATATCTCAAGCAAAGGGCACACCAGCAGGTCTTGCGTGCGTCAAGCTTTGGTCGATGAGGGGTTTGCGGATGGAGCAGGGCGTGGTCAGAAAGTGGGGTACTGAAAGACGTGTGAAAACTCTTCAGGTACAAACTTCAACCCACAAAAGATCGACGCTCAACACACACTCCAACCTCACCAAATGAGACATACTACTTTGAGTGTAACACGCAGCGGTAAATACAGCTGTTCAACGATGATTCGATTCATATTACACGCTGCGCAGACTTTATGCATGGATCTCACTCTAACGCCGCGCACAAACGTGCTTCAAATCTACAATAAAAAACACTTCGAAAACTATGCATAGCTCGCCCACCCCATATACAGCACCGCCAAATTGCGCTCATCAGTCGCCTGCTGAATGAGCTCGTTCACCGTCGCCTTCGTGCTCAGTGTCTTACTCAGTTTCTTCTCAACGACGCTGAGCGCCCTGCCGGCCTCACCAGCCTGCTCCTCCTTCTCCTTCTTCTTGTTACTCTCGTGCACTACCACATCCTCGACCGACACTCCCGACGGGGCGGGCGTACCGCCTGGCGCAACGGTCGATGCGCGTGTGCCGTTCTGTGCGTTGGTGTCCTGGTTGGCTTCTTGCATGCGCTTTGCTTTTGTAGGCGTGACGCTCCAGTTGACCAACGGGTCGTAGCGCAGTACGTTGAGCAGCGTCATGATGGACTCGCGTTCTTCGCGCAGCGTATCCATTGTGAATTCGCACGAGCGGCGGAACACGCCTTCTGTTTTGGTGTAGCCCATTGCGTCGACGAGGTCGCGCGTTAGGCGGAAGGGAACGACTTCAGGGACCGGCAGGACACGCCCCGCTTCGAAACTGACGCCCAGATCGATGTGGACCACTTCGCCGGATTTCTCATCGAGCAGGATGTTGTGGCAATGCCGGTCGCCTAGTCCGAGGACGTGGCCGAGGATGGAGATGGCGGCGGTCGAGCGTGTGTATGCGAGGCGCCGCTCGAACCATTCGTCCGGGTCCTCGAAGCGCTCGAGAAGGAAGTAGCGCAGTACGGGTTGGAAATTGTCGGCCACCTTCCGCCATACCTTTGTGCGGGTCGTGAGGGAATCCTGCTGCGCAGCACCAATGTCCCGTCGGCATCTTTCCGGTTTGTAATCACTGGGATAGTACTTCTCATGAGCCGGCATGACCCACAAATGCAGTGGGATGGTATTCGGGACGAACTCCATGAGGCCCGAGCGTGTAGACAACGGCAAGACTTTGTATGTTCGAATGCCGATGTTGCGGATGCGTGTCGCAGTATGGTTCCTGAGCAGTCTTGAAACTTGATCAAAGACTTGCTCCATGATGGCATCTTGGCGAAGGTCGTCGTTGCCAGATTTGAACTACAAATGTCAGCTGATGAACGTGGAAGTCGTGGATGCATATAATCACCAATTGTTTGTACGGTTTGCCATCAGTACCAATCGCGGTAATGACTTTGGGAGCACTCAGGCCGTTTGCAATGCTCATCTTTGGCTTGAAGCTCGCAATCCTCGGCAGATTGGTGTAGTTCTTGCTTGATCTCACCTCTACTTGGAGTGTCGCAGGCGGCACGTTAAGTTTCGGTATTTTGCTAACAAGATCCTTCGATTCCTTGTATCTTTCCAATGGCAGCTCTCGACCCTGTTGTGAAGTCTCCTTCTCTCCCTTGAACATTGCGAGGTGATGATAAATCTCGTTTGACTGAAATATCGAACTCCAGTATGATCGAGCCTTCTTGTCGTTGCCCAATGTAGTCGCAAGTCCGACGGCGGCCTTCTGACGAGATTTTGCAGACTCGTCCTTAGCGCGTACTACGTCTTCTCGTGTGAAGGGGCCAACCTTCATTTGGATCGCAAAGATCTGGTGCATGCCATGGTAGGGGTGGTCAACGCAAATGCGGAACACGAGAGACAAGAGCAGATTCTGAAAATCGCTGTCCTCGGCTTGCAAACGAGAGGAAAGTTGATTCATCAGTAAAGCGAACTTGCCGGTTGGCACGCTCGCAAGATATGCCCTGACCGCGGCGGTGGCCAGTTCAGTGTCGGCATACTCTAGCCACAAGGAAAATACACGCAGAGCGTCGTTGTTGTATTCATCGCTGGCAGCCAGCGACAACAGGTAGTTTTCAAGGCACTGTCGGAGAAACTGTTCTCGGCCCTTGCGTAATCTTTCGTACTCCGCGTTATCGAGATCATACCAATTCTTCGCACGGCGGGCACTCCTGCTGTAGGTGTCGCGCATGCCTTTACTCCTTTCTGTTTTGGAAAGTTTTGTGAACTCATTATACTCCTGCAGCTTTCGATCCATGACAGTTTTGATGCGGTCCATGTCTTCGGCAGCTTCCGGACTCTGAATTTGCTTGTCACAGAAGAGTGCAAACTCGTGGAACACTTGCCCAGGTCCGGATCCTTGCTTTTGACCCTTGAGTTCGCGAATTGCGGGTTCCAAATAGTCGTGCATGATAGAGTCTGGTTTTGCAAGACGCGCTTCGGCAAGGTGGTGGCCCTGATAAAGTTAGCAACGACGTAGTGAATTCATGAGTATTTTCCTCACCAGTCGAGCGAGAAGCACAGGCAAGCTTAGATCCGTGTTCTGCGAATCGAAATCGGCATGGTCAATCAGATGCTGGCGCATGCGAATGGAGATGTCAGCCTCGCCCTGGTCCCACAGGACATTTGCCACTTCGTGTTGGGCAGTAGCCTCGATATCAAGGCCCACAGATTTGCAATCAAGCACGAGGTCGGAGAGGTAAGTTACACTTGCCAACGATTCTTGCAAAGCGCCGTGCCGTCGACAGATTGTAGATGAAGCCACCAGTGCTTCCACTTCCATGTTCCGTACGGTACCAGTCCTTGCGTGCAAAGAATCGACTAGAGTTGGATTTGAGCCCAGAACATTGAATAAAGTTTCGCGGCACGATAGAAGTTGGCGAACGTCGCTGAACCTGTACATGTGTCAGTTTTTTCCTCTCAGGCGTTTCCGACAAAGGACACTCACTCGCCAGCCTGCATCCACTTTTCCCTGGCCTTCATACGGTCCCAGGTGTCAAGCAGATACTCCGGGCGTTCAGCCCTGACAACCTCGTCTGCTTCGGTCAAAGCCGCTAACGTTCGTAGACGAATCCTGGCAGGAACGGATGAGTTGTCCTGTCCGGATAAGAAGCTCATTGTAGCCAGCAACTGGCGCTCAAAATTATCTTTCGCTTCTGTGGCGCTCGTAGCAAAGTGAAGCCCCTGAAAGGCTTTGAACAATGTGCTAGACTCCGAGTGATTTGTCTCGGAGGCCTTGATATCCCATTGACCAAGCTTCCGTGCGGTATGAAGTGTGCTCTCTACACCATCATCACCGATATCGCGGAACTGGTCGTTGGAAAGTAAGGAGTGAGTGAGGCTGTTCATATTCAGCATAATGAGGGACTTGACCATGCCCCGAGAATCCGACGATTCCAGGGCGTCATGTCGGCGCATTTGGCTGTCGAGACGTGCTCCACGGAAAAGAAGACTTTTGATGCCGTCGCCCTCGTACTCGAGACGATCTAGGACAGAGAGAAGATTTGATCCATGCTCAACCCCATAGAACGAATCTGGCTCGTCCAGGTTCTTGTAGATGCAGAGCTGGAGATTCACTGGTATTTTAGAGGCATCAATTAGACCAGACCATTTTCTCCCCTTCATGACAGGTCGACCGGACGACGTCTCTGCGAACAACAGAGCACTCCTGTACATACCACAAATGCTTGCGGCTTGCGATGCTTTTAGATAGTCGATCTCTAACCAGCAGTCTCGATCTACCCGAGTGACTTCTTTCGGAACTGGCTGGCTGCGAAGATAGAGGATAGCTTGAATCAGGATGCGGACGTACGGGACGGTTGAAGAACTGCTCTCTTGAAACCATGATATTGTAGCTTTGCTCACGCAGTCTCGCACGTTACGCTCGCCATCGAACTCATCCAGTAGCACGAGGTGGAGAATATATGGCAATAGCCTCTCGGCCATATGATCAATGCCACGGAGAAGCTCAGAGAGAGCACCGAGTATGGGGTCCTCGGAAGCTGCTCTACAGAGCGCCATCGCAACATCTCGGATCCATGCGGCCACAGACTTGGTTAGATGGACTCTGATTACTATGTCGAGGCCATCGGGGATTATCGACGGCACGGCCAACGATTTTCTTGGAGGAGACATCCCAACTCCCTTACTAATCGCGTCTGGTAAGACGTGTTCCATTTCTGCTTTGTATTGGGGATCGGCATCCTTTAGGCGAGACTGTAGGTGCCTGATGGCGTCCTCAGCCAAACTCACCTCGGAGCGATTATCACTGTAGAACAGGTCGATGATCTCTTTGATAATGGCGTCTCTTGAAGATCTCCCCAATGCATCTTTGGGAGTGTAAGCTGATTGTGTCCAAGGCTTTAAGTGGGTTGCGCTCCGTTTCACTTCTCCGTAAGCGCTGTAAGCACGTCCGAGAACCTTGGCCGCCCACAGCAAGTAGCCGCTACCAACACCGCTCCGTCGACAGGATTCCCAGACAAGCGGGGCGTACGACGCAGCATCCCGGTCCACGCCCAGCACATCGTCACGGGCCATTGATGCTGGCTGAAAGTTCTGGCAAAGGAGGTTTAACGCGACCTCTCTAGATGTCTTATTCAGCAAATTACGGCCTGATCGTACATCATCCAGGATCTCCAGAAGCAGTTTGCTCTCCTCACTACCACGAGTTGAGTTGCCTTCCGCGGTGACTTGAGATGCTGCCGCGGTAATGAGCCTGAACGCTTTGACTAAAGATGGTTCGTCGCTGGCATCCATGGCATCGGCGTGAGTCTTCAGATATTCGGACAGCCACCTGTGAAATCTACTAGCTGCGTTCATCGTCGCCACATGTTGCGATTGTTGAGTTGTACTCTCTTGTGTGGA